CCCCAATTATACTATATCCAGCTTTGAGAAAATAGGCAGCCTTACGGTTAAAAATTCCACTGTGGTACCAAGAAGAAACTTATTTAAATGAAACCTATTCCCTTCCATTAGGAAAGTACACTCCTAGATTACAGTGGCTTGTAACAGCAGAAAGGGATGCAGCCAAAGTGGTTTATTTTATTTTTTTTTTCCAACTGCCAATATGGCTTGCTATTTTACTATTACTTCTCAGTCGACAAGTCTGATGCCTTTTTGTGGCTTGCCACCCACCACTATATAAAATACCAATGATGTGAGACTTCAAAAGTGAGCAGCTCATAAACAGCCAGTTTGAAAAAGCTGCTCCAATAATCCTATGCATCTTCTGGGTAAACTGTCTAAGATTTGACTCCTCGAACCATATATTCAGCCCCGAAAAAATCTTCCACTTGCATTTAGTTGCTTGTAGCAAGTTTGCTATACAAGAACCCTCCAAGAAGGAAACCTAGTAGCTGACAGCTATCTAAAGTTCAAGCTACTGCTATAAGTCTGACTCAGATAGAAACAGGCACCCCAGCAAGAACACCCCAGCTCACCTACACATCCCCTTCCTCCCCATGCCTGTGGACAAGTCAGTCCTCCCTCACCCCTCTACCCATCATCAACACTGAAAAACCGCTTCTCGCAGAAGGCACGTGCAAGCCAAACTGGCCTGTGCTCCAAAATGACCAGGATTTATAGAAAAGCATGCTATAATTATGGCTAAAGAAGTCCCATTTGTATTTTTAGTTGTCCTCATTGCAGCCCAGTCAAATTAATTCCTCCCCGCACCACAAAGCTCATGGCTGCAGGTCGTAATGCTATCCTAATTCTACCGACTGGTAAGTGCTTGTAGCAACAGTTCTCATCAGTTCATAGCTGGTCGAGGGCCAGAAAGCTGCAGAAGTGGTTTTCTACACTGCAACAGCAGTGCCCACAGCACTGGTTCAAAGGGCTGCTGTGCAGCCAGACACGGCACAGGCTTAGAGGTATACCGCTGACGCACTTGCCATTAGGAGATGCACCAGTAAGAGAGGTGGAAGTGGATCTAGTCCCATTAGGCAATATGAACTTGGGCAGCCAAGTCTGATCCCATTTCATACCGAGTTGAAGGAGCAGCTAGTGCAGGAGGTGGGTGGGTCCTCCTCTTCCTCACTGCTTTGTGAACAAGTGGAACGGGATCACTTTGGCATCCTATACATGGGATGGGATCAGATCCAGAGTTTTGATATGCAAGCCTTAAGAGCATGACACCTCTGCTACAGCAGACTGAAACACTTGCATATAGGTGCCAAACATATCCTTTGAAAGGAGGTTGACAAATGTATTGTCATTTTTGACACGCTTAAATTCTTACTATTCATCCTTCATCTGACAGTTTGAGACAGACAGCACGGGGAAACTGCAAACAGTGCAACATCACAGCAGTGACTAGATGAAAATAGCTTGCTGCTCAAGTACTGGCACCAGCAGAAGTCCTGATTATAGCTGCAGGAACAGCATTTTTCCCTTCATATTCCTGGAGGTCATCTGTACAAGTAAAACACAACGAGCTGAAGTGTTGGCATGTAGAAGTTCTGCTCATCTGACGTAAGGATCGTTTCCATATTTAGAGTTTAATCAGATGTGCATGTAGGGGCCTTGCACTATGTACACTTCACCTTTGCAATTTTTGCAGAAAAACAACAGTACCTCAAACGTAAGAAGACATGTACCATGTCAGACTCAAACTATTTTATCCTTATTTTAATAAAACTTATTTTCCACACATGCAGCCTGGACCACTTTCTGCCCTGGTTCATGCACAAAGCTCCCGCTGACTTCAAATCAGCAGCTATGGGCACACCATCCTACAATAAAGTGTTAGTCAGAAGCAGGGCTTCTCTATCCTACAGCAAAGTGTTGTTCCTTTAAAGATTAAAGGGCTCACCATCCCTGAAAAGTAAGAAAGGGGCTTTGCCCACAGTCCTTCTAGCTGCTGTAGCCCACATAGTTATGAAGAAGCATAATCAAGAACATAATCTCTTCCAGATACTGCAGGATGATATTCTAGTGAAAAGGTACAAAAAAAAGTTTCTCCATTAATCTTAAAATGGACACCACCATTAGTCCAGATAGCCTTATGTTATTACCAGGCCACAAAACTCACTTACAAACAGGTTTCTTCCATGACACGCGTCTTTCAATGACTACAGCATTCGATATCTCAACAGCCTGTAAGATTCTCCTGTAGCACCAACATTTCCCCAATACTAGCAACTTAATATTTAACCAAAAACGTTACTATTCTAGCCGGCATCACAACAGGTTTTGATCAGTGTATTAATTAGGTTTGATATCAGCTTTCATCTGACCCAGCACGCTTTCCTGCCTGGGGCAGGGGGTTGGATGCTATCTGCTGAGGCCCCTTCCGACCCCTATACCTATGAACCTATATTGGGAGCAGTACAGTTTGTCCAATTAGCGATTAGGTGTCCAAACAAAAACCCCTGCTGGTTCACCTGTCCATAGATCCGATAGTGAGCGGATCAGCAATATTAGCTTGAGGAATCATTCCATTGAGAAAGCATTTCCACTCTAAGTGATGCTCATAACATGAATGCCTTTTGTATTCCTAATTGCCCAGGAAGCTCCCCTCCACCCTGTCCCTCCCACCTCTCCAAGGCAACTAACCCAGAGGTGAGATGACTTCACTAGTGAAGTCCCTGACTGACTTCAGGGAGCCTTTGAAGATAGTAGAAAGGCACTCCTACTTTAAGGGTAGGCAGCAGTACAAAACACGCTCTAAGATGGGTCATGTTTCTGAAATATTCCAAATTTAGTAGCAGCTTCTTAACAAGTAGGATCCCAATTGTGTGCTTATAGCCTTTCGCAATTCATATTCAAAGCCATTGCAAGTGACTGTATTGAAAGTCTCTGAAAAGTCTGTTGGCAGCTCAAGAGACTGTGCACCTGAAAACAAGTTAAGAGACGAATCATTTCTTAGCAGTTAGACCTACTGTACCTTAAATGGGAATACAGGCTTGTTCTTCCAAGACCAAGCACAAAGCATCCAACTCCAACCCAAGTCACTGCTACTACTTCTGGAAAAGCTGAAGAGCTACATAGATGCTAGTCATGTTCAGACAAATAGTTTGAACCAGTTCTTCTACGCTTCATTGAAGAGTCTGAATAGCTTTAGTTTACATAGCTCTGCCAACAAGACAAATGTATTAGGAGACAACAGCCTACCAGAAAAGTTACTGAATGGTTCAGTACATGCTCAAAATGCTCCAACTTGCCTGTTCCTGCCTTTCTTCCTACAAAGAATTCTCTCCATGAGCAGCATCCACATTACAAGACAATTGATAGCCAGAATAACCAATTAAACCAGAAAGTTAAGTCACATACCAGAACACAGTGTCAACTCTTGAGCAGTCAAGGAAATGCCAGGTACAAGTCTGGCATCTAACCACAAATGAGAGACTATCCGTACCACGGTGTGCACAGCTCAGGCTACTAGTGGACTCCATCACAGGGTCAGTCATCCACAAAAAAGCTCCGTGTTTACAATCCAGCATTACCTAGAGGCTTACTATAGGCAATTATCTGTCCAATGAAGGAACAGTCAGTCATTCATGAACTCCAAATGAAAGGAATCATAGGTAGTGCAGTTCCCTGCAGTTAGACACATAATGGACATTAAACCCAAAAAGAACACCCACTCCGGCTTGCCTGTAAGCCACAGGCCACAGAAGTCCTAACAAGCCACGAGTGCTTCACACCAAAAAAAAGATTCAAGAACAAGGTGCCACCACTGCCTTAGTCTCACGCAACCAGAGATGTGATAGACTGCTCCAGACGTAACTGTGATGGTAGAAAACTACTGCAAGAGAGACTCACAAATGCTCCAAGGACTAACATGGCTGCACCAAATATAAAGGTCAAAATGACCAGGGGGGAATCTGAACCCCAATTTCTTATAGCTTTTCTAAAGCACCAGCAACTGGTTCTGAAGCGGCTTACTAGATATCAAATCCCCATGGTCGTGGGGATAACTTTATTTTTTAGACCAAGCCAGTTGCACTGAAGAGGATTTTCCTGGGGGACTTTTAGACTACATCATCTGGAGACATGTGATATAACACACTTCAAATAAGCACCCAAAAGGACTAGTATCCAACCACGTGGATCCCATTTAGCTTCTCTCTGGAGGAAGAAGGCCAATTCAAGAACAAGGGAGTCTCTCACAAAACCTGATTTTGTAAGTCAGAACAACTCAGCCAAACAAGCCTAGTTTGCCCGAGGTATTTCTTGACAGGTTCCAAAAAAGTTAAACATGCACCCAGCCCCATTTTAGAAAAGAAAAAAAAAAAAAAAACAACAACTCAGCCGTTGCTTCCTAGCCCACACCAGGCCCATTTATCCCAACTGGCCTCCTTAACATTCACTTGAAAGTAGATGCATAGGGAGTGTCAGAGAGAAGGGAAAGAGGAAAGAGATCACATTTCCAGTAAATTAGATGGCTATGCAAAGCCAAGTTCTGCACTGTCTATAGCTAATCTAGTTTAAGAAAAAAAATCTCTGCTGTTACGCTTCTCAGATTAGAAGCACTCGCCCCAAGCGGCAGCAGCAACATTATCGAGTGCAATTTCAGCAGCTAAGAACATGAAGCAGAGACACCTCCGCCATTAAGAATGTGTGATCCTGAGCTTTACCGTTCTTGACGTACCTTAATTTAAGACTAAGGTAGCCATCCCCAGCATCAAGAGCTGGCTGAAGACAGCATCCTTTTAATTTTAAATTCACCTGAAAATGCAGATTCATATGAAAGACCACCACCACCAGCTGCATTCTTGAGCAGGAGATCATCAGTGGCTAAGTGCTGGCTGCAAAGATAACTGGGTTTTTATGCCATAATAATCTGTACCCCTTGAGAGATCAGAGTACTGGATTTCCTGGGAAGTGGGTATTCCTTATAGATGGTATGGTTTATCTGCAGTGCCCCAAGTGGCAAGCATCGCCTTTTGAACCATCTGTTACCAACTAAACAGCACCAGCCTGAAGCCAGCATTAAAGCCAAGGCTCCTACTCCAAAAAAAGCTTATGACCTACAATTCAAGAGCCACAGAGCAAAGAATGAAGCTCAATTTCAAGGTAGTGGAGGAGAAAGCACCAGTCAGTTTCTTCAATCAGTTGGTGGCCAGCACTGTGGCCCATAGCGGGGTGGAGTCACACTGAAGCTCCCAGGCTCTTGCTCCGTTGCTGTTCCCTCTCTTGCTCTGGCCAAGACTGGGCTGTTTCCCGTCTCAAGGGACAAGACAGTGCAATGCCCAGCATGGAGGGAGAGTCCAAGGGTGTGTGGGCACCATGAACCCTGCACAAGCCATGCGCAGCAGCAGGGACAGCCACGCAGCCTGGGGACCCATGGTTTGCCCTGGTGCAGCCCACAGCATGCCACCCTTACTGGTGCATCTTGCAGGGTCTGTGGCCCTCAGTCAGTTGGACAGCCCTGGCCTAGATGATATTTCAAATGAGCGAGGCAGCAAGCAGTAGAAACCAACTACTATACGCTGACCTCAGAACAGTTTACAGAAGCTAGAAGCTTGTGCCCGCGAGTATGGCTTCTCAAGCTACACGTGGAGAGGAGCAACCTAAGATCCACCAGCACTTTGGAGTTAAAGATTTACAGAGAGGCATTTCTGGCTTGCATAGAGCAAGACATACTGCACAGTCCTTTGACCTTTTATATGGATTTTAATTAAAATACTGTAGTTTAAACAGACACTGTCTATAAAGTGCTGCCTGCCCCAGGAGTGACTCTGCAGATTCCTTGAATGAGAAGACACATTTTACTAATCAACAACCCAGCGCAAACTGCTATGTAACAGCCAGCTTTGACTGTATTAGTATTACAGCAGGACAAACGTCTTCACAGCATGCAGGGTTTTGCCCTGCACCTTAACTCTATGCAAGCAAGCCACAAGCATTTTCCCTCATTTATTCTGACAGACTTAAGAGGCGTTTGTTAGCTTAGGCTATGAACCAACACCCTTGCTTGGCTGGGTCACCTAAAACTTATGTTAATCAGGGAAGAAATCCTATCTTCCTCCTACACTGGGCACCCACCCCACCCAACCCAACCCTTTAGTTACTACAGTGGACAAATCCAATTTTTATTGATAGACTAGGTCAATGACCAAAGCCAAGCAAACTTTTGCAGAACAGCTGCACATCAATAGGTGCAATATGCATCTCTGTGCAGAGCCAGCAGACCAAGCCTAGCGGTTTTTGCTTTTTCAGCCCTGAAGCATTGCTATAGCCACTTACAGAACAAGACCCTGGGGTTGGCTTAGATGCCTATATATCAAAATATAAAAAGAAATGGTTATTTAAACTCAGGAGATATTCCCAAGCAAGGCAAACCAGACATTAAAGAAACCCAGACTGAACTATTTTAGGTTTCAGTGTAAACTGTTTGGAATAATTTCCAGACAGAAAATGAGAAGAAACCTATGATTGAAGAACATGCAACCTAGTCATTCGACAGGTTTAAGTTTCCTTTATAAAAGGTGTTAGATGCTGTTATCTAGCTCTTTCTAAACCCTTGGCCACAACCCCCTATTTATAGCTCCTATTACAGAAATAATCAAAACACGCTTCATTAGCCGGCATGTACCCATTGAAAACGGAAAACAAGAATCGTATAAGAAGCTAGCAAGCTTGTTCTGCAGACCTCTGATCCTCTTTAAAACATTATCCCATAGTGCAAATTTCTAGACAGAGCTTCTCTAAAGGCCTTGCCGTAATAACAGACAGAAGCATTTTTCTTTTAATGATACCTAAAAATAACTCATCTTCCAAAGGCATGTTGCATAATGTTGAGACTATTATTATTAGTTATCCTAATATGCATCTCCTAGTGTACTAAATATGCACGCAGACACTTATTGTCTTGATCCATTACTAGCAATGTTTTACTGTCATCCTCTTAATTGCTAATCTTGTGAAGAGGATTTTTTTTTTT